ATATTATTGCTTGCTTAAATTTATATAGGAGTATCAAAAATTGTAACTAAAGTTGGTAATTTGTCTTTTATCTAAAGTTATATATGTATTTGAATTGCATTGATATTATTTCAAGTTCTTTGCATGAAAATATCGTACCAACATTCTTTAGTCAATCAGGAGATTGATTTTTGTTCCGTTACAATAACACGGATTCGGAAAGCGAATTTATGCCTTTAGCAATCCTCCAGTCTAGAAAGTGTTTATAGGCAGACATGTAATGATCCTGGCTTTTGTGGTAGCAATCTTAGTAGCAATCCAAGAGCTGTTAATTTAGCCGCCTCTGCTATCTCTGGTGGTGTACAGGGCACATTATCACTCTCATAATTCATTTTTTGATTTTAAACGAGTTCTTGATATGCCATTGAATAATCACTACCTACTTAACATTTGACAATTTTAAACGTCAAAATTAATAAAAAGAAAAGATTAGAAAAACGTCAAATCATCCACGCCGCGCATCGGGATGTTGTGAGTGTCACGTTGGCGTAGCAAGAAAATGTAAAGTAAATGCAAAGTGTGATTTATCCATGATCCATGATTTATCATAATTCACTGTTATCAGCTGTTATATTTCACTCTATTACAAATACGGGCACTATATTCCTTCAGCTAGGAAGTAGAATATTGATTTATTATTAAGTGGTCGTGGACAAAATCTTTTATAGACGAATAATGTTCTTTCCCATCACCATCTCGAGAGCGACGATTATAGAGACGAACCATAGACAGTGTGTGACTCGTATTGTTAGTGCCTAAAAAGACTCCACCTCCGAGGAACCATCAGCTGCCGAAGTACGGTCAGCTATTATTCCTGCTGATATTGGGGAGAAAAAATAGGGGTTATTTATGGGGTTTTGGGAGGACTATATTTTAAAGGAAGGGAGCCGAGACAAGTAAATTGTCTAGAAGAATAGTTTTCAGATGGGGATATTTGAAGTTTCAATAGGCCTCGGGATTGTAGTTGAAGAATTTTAGGGTTTCATTAGGGATGGTACCAATTTTATCGTAGAACTTCAAGGCCCGATCTCGAATACGGGGTACACTACAAATTCGGTGTACGAGCATTGGTATCTCGGTAACCGAAATAACACAGTTTTAATAGATACGAACATAGTTAAATTGGGGCAACAACATAGAATGTAAAAAAAGTCTCGCAACACAATTCTTCCACTATAAAAAGCTGTGAGATATCATGTAAAACCAAGTCAGTTTATTTTATTTGGTATCTCAATTAAGGCAAAGTTACGCTTCGGGAGGTTCACCAAGATGAAATCCAAAAAGTTTTAAAAAAAGTTTCAAAGATTGCTGAGTTTTTGGAAAAAACGGATTTTTTTGAAAATCAATTTTATTTTTTCCTGTCGTTACTTTTTAGAAAATCAAAAAACTAATTGCACATTCTCATAGCCACTTTATTAGGACTATCTAATAGTATTTTTAGATTTTCCAAATAACAGATAATTTGTGAGATATAGAGGCCAACTTAATTTTTTAAATACGGACCTGCATTTTTTATTTCAGATTATGAAAGAACTTGGTAGAGATGAGCAACAAATCGCAAATTGCGATTCAATCGCAGCGATTTTGAAATCGCAATAGAAACCTGCGATTGGCTCTCATAGGAAACTGCGACTGCTTTTTTTTTCAATTTAGGCAACCAGTATTACTATAGTTGCGATTTACGATTTTCCTGCGATTTTGTTGCGATTGGATTGTGATTTTGTAAACTAGGACCGTGATAACCTTCTATCTGCGAGTTTGAATTATTAGGAATCGCGATATGCGATTTTGTTGCGAATGTAATTTTGTGGTCCATTGAAGCATTTTATAGTAAACTGCGACTGAATTTTTTTTCTAATTTTATTTATTTATGGAGAAGTTATTATTACAGATTAGGTATATTATATGTATACAGATAAAAATCTTGTCCCTAATTCACGAAAATTGTTTTTTATGACGATGAGCAAACGAGTAAAATTTCCTGTGCGCAAAAATAAACTCGCGTTTAAACAGCGTAATAACTGGGCCGGTCAGGCGCTGTGCGCAATTTTAGAGGCCATAAGTGGGTGTGCTATGTGCGCAGACTAGTAACCTAACCAGTGCGCGATTCCGAAAATTGGAACCACGAAAAACAATGTTTCTGACGATAAGTTTATAATCTGTATAATCTGTGGTATTATTAATTTTAGGGCCTAGGGCCAAGATCATCATATACCGGGTATTTTTCAAGCGTGGTTTGCCTCTAACTTTTTTATTTTTTCTGATAAAAAACTAGATTTGGTATAGCAATTATTAGGATTGATTGACGTATTGAATTATTCCTTTCGATCACTTCCTGTTTCACCGGAAATGACTACAACTTTTGATTTTTAAATGGCACCATCGGTATTTTTTTACTTTATTCGATAGAAAATGACACTCTGAATAGAATGCCTAGTACAATATTTAAATATTAATTGCAGTTTGAATGGCGATGGAGAACCGCAGTTTTGCTCATCTTAAGTTTGTGGTATAATGTAAAAAAATATACATGTATAACTTTAAATGTATAATACAGGTTGTTGTAAATGTCATTAGGAATAAATAAACATCTCACACATCAAGTTTTACTATGGAAATATACTTTTATTATAATCGATTTATTTTTATAAAAAATACTTAATATATAAGGAACTTTTATACAAACATCACGTAAAATGTTTAATAAAATAACACAAAAAAAAACAGTTTGTACTTATTAAACTAAATGCCGTTATTATAACCTAACATTCATACAAAATTTACACGCTCACATAAAATTATTCAACTATATGTATAGTCTTGTTAATATTAAATAGATCTATAATTTTAATGACTCTCCTTCTGAGCATTATAAGAGACTAAATCTTTACATTTTTCATTTTATATAATTTATATTGCCGTTTATTCTGTAATGCCATATAATAACATATTTTATTTGTTTGACTTTTGTACTGAGATAAATAGAAATACTGTACGATAAAAAAAGACGGCGTCTCGGTTGACTTTGAAATAGCGTGACAATTAACAATCCGTGATTATATTTTTACTTTAGAAAAAAATAAAAAAGTTTCAAGCCACTTCTTTAAATTTATTCTCCAAAAATAATTTTGACTGAATAAATTTAAATGAAGGTAAGTGGCGTACTAAGAAACTTTCTGCCTTATTTTTTTTTAATTAAATATTTATTTTTGATTCATGAAGTTTTACGTCAATCGATTGTCAATTTAAATGGCACCCTGACTACATGTTTTTTTATCGTATGGCATAAGTATTCCTATAAGAAATGGCACATATCAATAATAAATATTGGCTAAGTGAAGGTACTTGGTCACTGTACCACTTGGATAGCCACTTCAGCATTGTTCAGAAACAATTTTTAACTGCCAGAAGTAATGCAGGATAATTTCCTATGGTTTGTACTCCGAAACTATTATTATTATTTAAACCAAATGTATCATCAATTCCATTTAGAACCTTGACATTAAATATTTCCTAATAAAACTGAAAATGTTTTTAAAATTTGATTAAATAATAATATACATGAATTAATAGATGTATCATATTTATCAGATTTAGATTAATCATTATTTCTATGATTATTTAAACGATCTGATAAATGTGATAAAGTAACAGAAGTTTCCATTATTTGACAACTTTCTTGCTGAAAAATTGACAAATTTTGGCATTAGTTTTGATTTCTAAGATTCGCCATGATTATTTTCCATGTATACAGAGGCTTGAACATGTTTCATCCGTTTATCCTATCCCTTAAAAATACTTCTGTTTGATCACTTAATAATTGTGATAATTATAAAGGGATCGGTGCATTACTTTGTAGTGCAGCAGAAAAATTTGACTGAATGCTGGTAAGTATATCATAATCAGATCTAGATTATCATTTTCCATGATTATCTAAAAGATCAGTAAACTGAGGAATTTTCATTTTTGATATCACTTTTTTGTAGAATTAAACAAATTGACATAACTTTTAATTTTTGATATTTTCCATGATTGCTTATTAAAAAAGGCAGGTTCAAACACAGGAATAAAATATAAATAACATAAAAGTACAAAATGATATAGAAAGTAAAATATAAGAGTTCGTTATACTTTATATTTTATTTTATTAGAATATTATTGTACTTAATACTTTATTTTTACCACAGCATCAGCATTAATAATTTTCAAAATTAATTAATTTTATTCTACCAAAATTAGTCGTTGGAAATTACATTATATTATAGTTTTTCAGCTTATAATATAATAATAATGACTCATAAATTATTCCAAATCCTACAGCAATCAAGCTAGAGGTAGAAATTAGCTAAATAGTAAAATTATCATAAAAAAGCACAAACTAACTGTGTTTTTACTGCAATTTTAAGATAATAAGCATGTGTCTGATATAGTAGATTTTATTTATTTATTAATTAATTTTATTCTAGAGTTTGAACCCAAACAAATAGTTGAAACATAGTTTATTGGCGATATACTTGTAGTACAATAACCAGTTCCTCAAAAAAATCAAAAGTGTGGTTAACAAAAAAATGTTTAATCCGCTTTCAAAATTATTATTCCAAAAGTATTTTGCACTCGTAATCTTGCACTCAGTCATTCTAGTTATACCTTCAGACATGACGTCTGAGTCACTAGTCAAAATAAAAGCTCGCCGATACATTTTTCAGGAAATTGTTAGATAATAATATACAGTCTGTTCAGTGATTGTGATTTCGGCAATTCAGTCACTGATATTGATATAGATTTTGAAAGGATATTCTCCGCTTTCCGATTCTGTAATCACGTGTCCTACTACAGACTCCTTATCTTCTTGAGTTTAATTAAAAAGAACGCTGTATGATTTCTCCGTATCCACTTCTTATTCCGCGACTAACCAAGAGCAGAGTTTCTTGATGTAGAGGTAGATATTGCTTTCACTCTGGTAACAGCGAAACAAGATAGAGAGCCTGTCCGTGAGATATGGTTGTCTTGCATATAAGTCGCTAAGGCTAGAATTGTTTCTAGACTTTTCTGTATAGTAGGTCCCTAATCAAATAAACCAATTTTATCTAAATGTGTTACGTTTTCTGGTGAGAAAGAAAAGTAAACCTCTACAGATTAAAGAGTTCGTTCTGTGACTATTTTATTGAATAGTCAGTTTTACACTATCGGGATTCACCTCATCGAAATTCCTGGGAATGTCCAGTTTAATCTCACTTTTTTCCAGAAGGGACGGATTCAATGTAATCGGAGGTGTACTGGTCTTCGTTGGACTAGGGGGTACCAAGATAAACTTGTCGTCTATTTTGAGCATCATTTTCCTATTCCTAGCGTAAAACCCATTTCTAGAATGCGGCATGGCGTACTTGAGCTTATTCCAAAAGTATCTATCACCCCATTTAACGTAGGTGTTAGTTTTAAGATAGCTTTTGAGCTCATCGTCTATTTTCTCTTCATCTAGGTCACCAAGTATCACCACAATTACTCTAGCTCTACCTTCAGACATGGCTTGAGTGTGCGCCGTTCTGAATTCCATTTTTCCCCAGACACTTTTGAGAAAATTATTGGAAAGGACAACCAGAGTCCTTCTGGATTCATTCACAGATCGTACAATCTGTTCGGCGATCATGTCGCCGGGTATCCAGTCCCTGATGTGGATGCAAACTTTGAAAGGGTGCTCTCCGCTTTCCAGCTCTGGAACCAGATGTTCTACTACGAACTTCTCGTCTTCTTGGGAGTAACTGACGAACACGTCATAAGTCTTGTCTTTGTCCAGTTCTTCTTCGGTAACGAACCACAAGCAGAGGTTCTTGGCGTAGAGGTAGATCTTGATTTCGGTTTGGTAACGGTAGTAGATTGCTGCCATGACTGCGAATGCTAAGAGCATGCTGAGTGCGATAGGCAGCATGATGGTTAGGTAGCGCGAAGTCTTGCATAAATCGAAAGTTTTTTCCAAGAGTGTGTTGGTATTGTGGCAAAATACGTCAGCAGTTTGAACCTGTAAACCAAGCAAAATTAATAATTAAAATAATAATAAGTAATTTAAGAGCTTTGCGTGTTCTGAGATTTCAGTTCAATTAATGGAGGTTTCACTATAACCAAAAGAAACAAGTTCGTTTTACGTAAAAGTTATCAGAATAAAACATTTCTTCTTTGGGTCCCTGCTAGAACATAAATGTGTCCACAAAAATGTGCTCTCCGTTTCTAGGGACATTTCTTACGCGTTATCGAGTAAATAGAAAGATTAATTTTTTAAAAAATACGAATTTTATACAATATCTTGCTGACAAAGACGACAACTTCTATTTGAATAGGTTAATAGAAGCATCGTTTAGGAGAAGTGTGTGTCTTCGTAAACAGTTTATACATAAATATAAACATAACATTTCAAATATAAACGTTTTATATTATTGTCAGGCTGAGCACATTTAAGACTACCCATTTAAATAATATTTTTTTTTTATTAAAATAAACCAACATACTTTTTTGTAATTCTGCATCAGATATTTTTGTAAATCGAATAGTTTGCAATCGCACACCCATGGATTGTCCTTTAATATTAATTTTTCTATAGAGCTTGTCTTATTTAGCACATCTACAATCTCGTGATCCAATACTGTTAGCTTATTTCCTTGAAGGTTTAGTTCCTACAAATAAAATATTATTAGAAACTTAAAATAACACTTTTTTTTTCAGTATAATATACACGGTGTAAATGAAAAGTACGAAAAATGTTAGAAGAATATTGCTTTAATAAAAATGAAGAGGTTTCGCTTATAATTGTTTCTTCATTTCGGAGTTTCTTGATTCGGGAATACGGGGTGAATCAAAATCACAATATGGTTGAGTTTAAAAAGTTGACATTTGGTGTGTCTATATCATTAAGTAGGTCGCGTCTTTAAGTAGAATAAATATTTGTATATGTCGTACACACGACGTTTGAACAGCAAGTTCACTTGCAACACATTACTATAGTTTTTATTCCCGGGAAATCTTGAAATGAAAACAAATTTAGTGTAGTTAATTTAGAAACATTTTCCATCTTTTCGCATTTGTTACCAGTTAATAATGAAACAAATAAATCAATATTAGGCGCCTATACAGGATGGCCTCCAACTCCCAGTGGATGACATACCAAGCATTTACAAGTTTGAGAAACACCTCACTGCTGTAGTATTGAATAATAAAAAGAATTGGAAAGAAGAAACGCTTGCTCAGCATGTAAAAGACCATGCCATAACGTGGTATACTGATGCTTCCAAAACCAAAGCAGGGACAGGGAGAGGAGTATTTAGGCCGAAAACTAAATACTCCAAACCAATGACACAATTAATCACAATTATTGTAAATTCTTCGAGGCTGTAAAAGAAGTATACGGCCCAACCTAGAAGGTAAGCTGCCCAATTATGGCACAAAATGGCGAACTTCTAAAAGAGGAAGAGCAAATTAGAAACCGCTGGAAAGAGCATTACAGCCATATCATTAACCAAGAAAACAACCCCAATATAGAAGCACTAAACACCTCAGCATAACAGCCTCGATGTATTAGATACCCCAATAACAGAACAGGAAATAATGGCATCCATAAAACAGCTTAAAAACAACAAATCAGCTGTCTGTGACGCGATCCCGGCGAAAATCTATAAGTGTGCAAGTAAAGAACTTATTGGTCATCTTAAGGCTCTCTTCGATGTCATGTGGGAAAGCGGAGAGGTACCTCAGGACTTTTGCAACGCGAATATAGTGAATATATTTAAGAACAAAGGAAGTGCATCAGACTGCGGAAATTACCGGGGAATTTCACTATTGGCTATCGGAGGAAAAATTCTTGCAAAAATTATGTCAAATCGCCTTCACCCACATATAGAAAAAATCCTTCCAGAATCGCAAACGGGTTTTCGCACCAACCGTGGCACCGTCGATTCCATATTTTCCATCCGCCAACTACAAGAAAAAGTAAAAGAGCAGCAGTCTAAACTTTATGTTGCATTCATCGATCTAACAAAAGCCTTCGACTCTGTGAACAGAGATGCACTTTGGGCAATTATGAAAAAGTCCGGTGTACCCAATAAGTTTCTTACAGTGTGTAAAAGCCTCTATAACAACAACCAATCAAGAGTGTCACATCATGGATCACTGAGCGATCCCTTCCTGACAAATAAAGGATTTAGGCAGGGATGTGTCTTAGCGCCTCTCCTATTCAACATATTCATGGCAGCGCTCTCCATTATAGTGGACAGCAAACTGCAGGAGAGAGGATTGGGCATTAGATACAGATATGACGGCGGTCTGTTCAACATAAAAAAACTCAGGGCAAAAACACGTACAAAATTCATCACAGAACTTCAATACGCTGATGAATGCGCTCTAGTTGCAAACACGTTACAACAATTACAAGAAATGTTGAACACATATACCTGGGTATACGAGGCTTTGGGCTTTAAGCTAAACATCGACAAAACCAAAATCATGTGCACTCCCCCAGAAGATCATAACAATGCTATAAAAATCGGAGAAGAACTACTGGAATATGTAGCGGAAACCTCGGCAGTTTGATTTCGGAAAAGGCCAATATCGACTCTGAAATTCAGCACAGGATTAGCAGCGCCTCAAGGGCATTCTGAAAATTAAAAGACAGGGTTTTCTACAATCATGACTTGAGTACAAAAACGAAACTTGCAGTGCACCGAGCAATTATAATCCCCACCTTGTTATATGGGAGCGAAACCTGAGTGCCGTATCGCCGGCACATGAACGCATTAAACAAGTTGCAACAGAGACACCTTAGACAACTCTTAAGAATCCGGTGGTTCCATCACGTCTCAAACGTTTCGGTCCTTGAAAAAGCTAACTGCGAAAGTATTGAAGTCATGGTTACAAAATCCCGCTTAAGATGGGCTGGTCACGTATGCAGAATGCAAGAAAACCGCATACCAAAATCTCTGCTTTACGGTGAGCTTGTAGACGGTAAGAAGAGGCCGGGTGGAAAACTCAAAAAGTACAAGGGCATTTTCCACGAAAACTTAAAGGGGATTAACATGCAGAATCATTGGGAAGATGCAGTTCACAATAGAACTCAATGGAGAAGAACTGTAAACTCAGTTAACAGCGACAACCAAAAAGTAAAGAGGGAACAAAGCAATGAGATTTTTGAATGTCCGGAGTGCGGTAGGCAAATAACATCACGTATCGGGCTTTTCAGTCACAGAAAAGCTCATGAAAGAAAACGCCTTGCGTGACCATCTTTTGATGCGTGTCAAATACTCGTCAGCGAGTAATGGCAGTATGTATGTATGTAAACCAATGGGCACCTACCTACTATCGAAACATGTGTACAATTTATCTTAGATAGGAACTATCGAAAACAGGAAATTTCCATCCTATCCCATAGTCAAGCAGCACTAAACGCGATCAACTTAGTAACCATCACCATCAATTCGAAGTTGGTCAAAGAATGCCTAGGGAAGCTCAACAAATTAGGCAAAGAAAATAAAGTCCTCCTACTTACTACCTAAGCTGAGAAACAACGGTGAATGCAGATTCTGTAAGGAAAATGGGGAAACACCAACACAGAACACCTTATCACTGAGTGCTCCCCTCCTAAACATTCTACATCTACATACAAGGTGGCGCCTCTAATACTACGCGAAGGCTCCATAGAGAACAGTACGTTATATCGAAATGAAATTTTGCTAGCATATGTAGGTTAGTTTAGGGCATTTTTTAAAAATATAGAGGATTCTACAGGATGTCCCCAAAAAAGTTACGCATCAAAGTTGTTTTTTTTTCGTAATACGCTATAAATCTTGACTAAAAATCTTAGCTAAAAACCTTACAATATACTTTTTTAATAAATGTTCTACTTCCAAAAATGATAAAGTTATTAAAAGTAAGGGCATGTATGATATATTTTTGAAATCGGCAAAAAATATATGTTATCAAATACACTTGTAATCCCATTTATAAAAATAGTTTATATTATCAATAACTGTAATATTTGCCAGAGTCAGACTTTTTTGGCAATAATTAGCTTAATAAATTAGATTAAATAAGTGGTTTTGAAACTTGTTAAAAAACTCTACAATTTAATTTTTTAATGAATATTCTTGAATATCTCCAAAAACAAAAAAGTTATAGTCAGTTATATGTGGGACACCATAAAATGAGTAGATACATAGATATGTTAACTAAAATTACCTTAATTTTAGGTGGAATCCAACTAATATTGTTTATTCTGTTCCTTGACAGATCCAAACGAGTTACGTTCTGGTAGTTAACATCGTCCCTTGGTCCAGCTGTCAATTGGTTTCCCGTCAAATTCAACACGGTTTGCTGGTAGCTATCACTTGTGATAAGGTTAAGATTAAAATCTGGATACTGAGTCAGATTCCTATAAGAACAGTCAACCATAACTGCCTTGTAGTAAGGCTGATACGAACAGCTGCATATATCAGAACATGAATCCGTAGAGCAATATATGTTCCATGGTTTTATGTCCTCTATTTTTAAGCTGTGAGAGTTAGGACAGTATAAGTTTTCTTGTTTGATGTCTATCGCCTGTGTGAGGTTTGGATAGTCCAGATTGTTGTATTTGATCAATTCATAATTGGCACAATCGCAACTGATGGGATTATCGTTTACGTCTATGACGGCTTGACCAAGAGGGGATTGGTTCTCTTCTAAATTCCACTTGACAATGTATTTTGCCTCGATGAAATTGCCAACCGTCTTGATTTTGTTGTGCGTAAAATTGACCACTATGTCGGCTCCACTGGCGTATAGGTCGATCTAGAAACAATTTTAACAGTTAATAAATGTTAGCATCATCAACAGACAACTAAAACTCTTTTAATTACATAGTTTTAATGATCTGCTGAGACTGCTGATGATGCTAACATATAACATAGTTAGCGAAACGCGCGTCCAGTGCAAAAGTAAAAGTGTTTTGGTGTATTGTCGTGATTTAGTATTTTATTTTGCTACTTACGAGCACTAATGAAATTTTTGTACCGTTATTTTACATGTTTTTTTGTTTGGAAACGACCCTACGCTGCACAAGAGCGAAAGCTCTTTCTTTCATAATATCTCCGTCCTGGACATGACCACAATGTCTTTACAGATTTATACCACTTTGCATAAAACCATTTATTAAAATAAACTGAGAAAAGCTCAACAAAGTCGTAAAGTACAAAAAAAATCGAAGGTATCAAGTGAGACGTCATAAAAAGCTGACTAAAGATTAAACATGAGATCGCTTCCATCTTTAATGTATGATTATAAAATAGTTTTAGACTCCCACTTTAGTCCATGCATTTAATTGTTACTACTAATATTAAATGATTCAACGGGAAATGGAAAGGTCCATTTTTGGAGTTACTGTTAGAGTATTATATTATATACAGAGTGCTATACAAATTCGGGGTACGAGCTTTGGTATCTCGGTAACCGTAATAGATACGGACATGGTTAAATTGGGACAAAGTTGCCCCCCCGCCTTGGAATGTTCATCAAGATACCACCAAAAAAGTTTTAAAAATTTCAAGGATTGTTGAGTTATGTCATTTGGAAAAAAACGATTTTTTTGAAAATCAATTTTATTTTTTCCTGTTGTTACTTTTTAGAAAATCAAAAAACTAATTGCACATTCTCTTAGCCACTTTATTAGGGCTATCTGGTAGTATTTTTAGATTTTCAAATTAATTGATAATTTGAGAGATACAGAGGCCAACTTAATTTTTTTAAGTACGGACCTACATTTTTTATTTCAGGTTTTGAAAGAACTCGGTCTCCTGAGTACAATAATATACCACATTTTTTTTGTTTTGGGTACCTTAACAATAACAAAACTATTTAATTATTATTTAAAATAATTTCAAGTCCGACTCTGTTTGTTTAAATTATTTAATCTGATTATACTCATCGCAAAAATATTGATCAGCACTAATTGAATAAGGGAAATAGAGCCAATTGATAGACTCAAATAAACAATATCCAGGTTAGCAATTTAAAGATATTATTTTTAACTTTTTTTATCGTGAATTTGAAATTTCAGTGTATGATCTAATAATATGCATAATATTAATCTATACTAATATAAAATCCTTAAGTGACTGACATACTGATTAATCACGATCCTGCTTAAACCAGTCAACGTAAGAAGCTCAATTCAATCAATAGCATACAGGTTGATTCTAGGGTGCAGAGGTTCGATAAGAAGGGATTTTTCGAAATTCCAGTTTCAAGAGGGTGAAACCACCCCTCAAATATTATATTTTTTATTTAAAAAATGGTCGAGTTTCCGAAAAATCGCTTAAACACGTATATTTTATTTTGTTTTTTTAGATATTTTAAGATTTTTTAAAAATGAATACAGGGTGTTTCGAAAAATCTGGTCATTGATTAATCACGATCCTGCTTAAAGCGCTTGACGTAAAAAGCTGATTTTTGGAAAACAGATTGACTTTAGGGTGTAGAGGTTCGATAAGAAGGGATTTTTCGAAACTCAAATTCTAAGGGGGTGAAACTATCCCTCAAATATTAAAATATTTTTTATTCAAAAACCGGTGAGTTTTTCGGAAAACACTTAGACACATATATTTTATTTCGTTGTTTTACATATTTTAAGATTTTTTATAAATTTATACAGGGTGTTTCATAAAATATGACTATTGAGTAATCACGATTCTGCTTAAACTGCTTGACGTTTAAAGCTGATTTTTGGCAAACGGATTGACTGTGGGGTGTAGAGGTTTGATTGGGAGTGGTTTCTCGAATCTCAAATTCCAAGAGGTTGAAAACGCCCCTTAAATATTACAATATTTGTTATTTAAAAAACGGTTAGTCTTTCGGGAAAACGCTTGCACAAGCATAATTTATTTGTTTTTTTACACATTTTGAAATTTTTTAAAAAATCATACGGGGTGTTCCAAAAAGTTGGATAATTTCTTAACTACGATTCTGCTTAAACTGCTTGACGTAAAAAGCTTATTTTTGGCAAACGGATTTTTCGAAAGTCAAATTCCAACGAGATGAAACTACCCCTCAAATATTACCAAGTTATATAATAGTATCGCCATATTGTTTTTTCTCATGCTAAATTTTATCCAGTTTGTATGTTAATGGAAATTCTTGCTTTGCTTTATCATCACCATTACAAATGATTAATTCGACGCGAACGAAGTCGCTGGTAGACGCTAGTCATATTATAAATAAATTAACTTCTACAAACTAGTTTCTAATGCTTCACATGTTCGAAAGGGTTACCACCCTCTCTAATGCAGAAGTTTATTTTTTGTTCAATCTTATTTACAGCATTTTGAACATATCTTCTTTTTATACTTCCAAATGCACTTGCTAATGCTAAATGTTGAAATATATTGATTTTACTTAACGTTAAGTAATAACCCGAAAGGAGTTCTTTCAAAACCTGAACTAAAAAATACAGGTGCGTATTTAGAAAAATTAAGTTGGCCTTTGTATCTCACAAATTATCAGCTAATTTGAAAATCTAAAAATATCGTCAGATAGCCCTAATAATGTGGCTATGCGAATGTGCAATTAGTTCTTTGATTTTCTAAAAAGTAACGATAACGTACGAACGAGATAAAATTGATTTTAAAAAAATCCGTTTTTTTCCAAAAAACTCAGCAATCCTTGAAATTTTTAAAACTTTTTTGATGGCATCTTGGTAAACATCACAAAGCGTAACTTTGCCCCAATTTAACCATGTTCGTATCTATTACGGTTACCGAGATACCAATGCTCGTACCTCGAATTTGCAGTACCTTGTATATGTATCTGTTGGAGGCAGATGCCGAATTCGGCCTATGTCCGAAATAATTAGACATATGGCGATTTGTCCATACTAAACTTGCCAGATGCGTGCAACTTCGTGGACATCGAAGTCTTTATATAACTTCTTCGTGGACATATAGTCTTTATATAACTTCTTTGCGGAGGGGGTTAATCTTTTTTTGGTATAATATAACAACAAAAGATTAACACCCTCCGCATAGAAGTTGAAACCAATGCAATCAAAACTCTTCCGCGAAACTTTGTGGATATAGGTAGGTATATTTAATTATAATCGCTATATGTCTAATTATTTTGGACATAGGCCGAATTCGGCATCTGCCTCCAACATATATAATAAATATATTATTATACCGTAAGAAATCGAAGAGGAGTAAGAAATACGGTAATATATAATCTTAAATCTTAAATGGAACTGAACAGGAGATGTGGCTAGGATAACAGATGGATGCCGGACGGTGGACAAAGAGACTTATGGAATGGAAACCAAGACACGACGCATTTGAAAGCAGAGGACGAACCCCTAGTTGATGGACAGATGATATAAAAAGAATGGCTGGAAATTAGATTCAAGTGGCGCAAAATAGAAAGAGATGATTAGAGTTAAGGGAGGCTTTTGTTCAGCAGTGGACGGGATAAGCTAAGTGAGAACTAACATTATAGACTTACCGGCACTTTAGTGATGTCATTATAACTGAGATCTAACAGCGTCAAACTTATAAGCGAATGAATCTCTATGGCTTCAGTTATGTTGTTATGATGCAGAATCAGTTCTTTGGCTTTGACACACTCGCCCAACGGACTGCCAAAACCTTCCAAATAACTGTTGTTCCACATGTTGTACGATAAATCTAGGAAAACTAAAGGAGTCTGAGAGAATGCCAGGATCTCAATAGTCACAATTCTGTTTTTAGAAAGGTTCAATGTGTCCAAACTCTTCAATTTTCCAAATACCACATCTGATATTTCTTCCAACAAATTACTTCCCAAATAAAGTTCATTAAGTTTTTCCAGACTGGAGAAGACATCGTTGCTCAGAGATTTCAGAGAGTTGCTTGATAAATCAAGTTTTAGAAGGTTCTTGAGCCCGTCGAAGAGTTTCTCAGGAAGCGTTTCCAATTTGTTGTTTTGTAGTTTAATTTCAACAAGCGATGTGGAGTTTGTAAAGGTGTGCTCGGGGATAGATTGGAGTTTATTATCATTTAACTCTACTGAGTTTAAATTTGAGAAATTGGAGAATAAATAATCCTCCAAGGTTTGGATCTTGTTGAAATCCAATCTGACGTTCTGAAGGAGGTGATTATTCCTAAATGTTTTGCCATGCACATGTTCAATTTTATTTGCCCGAAGACCAATGTTTTCTACATTCACCAAGTCGTAGAACGTGTCCTCTGGAAGATTTGTTACTTGATTGCTGTACAACTCCACCAAGTTTAAATTTTCCAGGCCGGTAAACGTCTTTCTTCTTAAACTTTGTATTTGATTTCCCCATAAATGTAAAACATTCAGATTTTTCAAATCTTTAAAAGTACCATCAGTTAAATTTTCAATTTGGTTTCTGGATACATCCAGATGTTCCAAGTCGGGCACGTGTTCGAATGTCCAGTTGATGGAGGTGATCTGATTAGAATTCAGATACAGAGACCGTAGTTTTGTCACGTTTTTTAAAAAGTCAGTTTCGAACACTGGCTTGCTGAATGTCAGTGAAAGAAAACTTAAATCACTAAGACCTCTTAGAAGTTCTTTCGAAACATTCAAATATTCCGTCGTTTGAACTCCCATCTGTTCAAAAACGATCCTCTCAACCTTGGTCATTTGGAATTTTCGAAATATATCCTCAAAAGTCGAGTTGAAGTTACAATATTTCAATACAAACTTTCTTTCACGGTGTGCGTCAAAATTGGGAATGATATCCGGGTCTAAAATGTCTTCCGTGACACACTCTACGTCAACTTTCTCTCCGGTTATAATAGTTATTCCTACGGAGCCGACATATTTGGGACACTGCAGCTCCGTGTTGTACGTCCCTAAAAAGCAGTCGCAGTTGATTGATGGTGGGCATAGTTCGTGGCCGTAGGTAAGTCCCATACTGCAAAAGCATGCTAATACGGTAACCAGTAGCCTCCATTGGAAAGAACTCATCCTTGGTGTTCTGCAATAAAAGAAAATTTCGTATTAGAATAGTCAAAAAAATCATTTTACGAGAAATCAATATTTTAATAATTCTAATTATTTTGTTTTGTTTCAGTAAAACTTGTATAGGATATTCTAATGAAATAAATGTTATTTAGTTCAAATTAGAATTCAGCCTACAAAAGTCAGTAATAGGTACTCTTTCAAGGATTCGTTAAATGCAAATATATTATATTTTATTAAATGCTACCGATAAAGTCACAGCTACATGAAATCACCAGTTCTCAATCGATCACTGAAATTAAACAAACTCTAGACACTAGACCAAAGTTAATGGATGTAGGTGGACCGGTGAATATCTGGAATATTCCGTTGTTCTAAGACAAGAATGTAAAATATACAGACGCGTCTCATACGCCGCGGAAGCTCCAAGAAGAACGGTAGTTTATATCGAAATGAAATTTTGGCAGCATATGTAGGTTAACTGAAAGTATTTTATAAAAATATATAGAATTATACAGGGTGTCCCCAAAAAAACTTACACATCAAAGTTGTATTTTTTCTAATGGAACACCCTATATATTAATTGATTTCTGATTCTAGGAAAAAAATAAAGACGAGTTTTATCAAAGAGGCGCATACCTAAAATCTAAGGATTTTGACATATTTCACATTTTGTGAAAATGAAGAGTAAGTTTTAAATTTCGATAACAGCTACCTAAATTTTAATTGACCTTGTATAGCCTGATATTTAATTACAGTAATCATTGTATGTTAAACCAAATAGAAATTTCACCCGAAAAGTTATACTGGGTGAGACAAAATTAATATGGAACTTTAGTCGCTTTTAAAAGCAAGTTACTCCTTTATTTTAAATGGAACACCCAGTATATTTTTCCGGTGTTCAATGGAGAATTTATACATCTTCAAAATATTATTAAGGTTGCCTACCCCTCAGACAAAGATTTTCCCAGATATTTTAATTTTTATGATTTTCCGTCAGTAAATCTAGGTGGCTGTGTGATATACCTTTTGTTAATTTAACAAAAATTAAAGATTGTAGAGTAAAACACTCAAGGGAATAAAAAGACTCACGTTTAAAACATATTTTAATTATTACAGAATTAAAACTAGATATAAACCTATAATTATGCGACAAAAATTAGCTAGATGAAGTCCAATGCTCAAAATGCTTCCGTTCCTGTTAACTGTATAAAATGATTGTCTTTTCAAAAGGATTTTTTCATTTTAAAAGGATATTCTATTAATTGGTGAATGCACACTACATTCACCAACTAATAGAATCATATCAATTCTCTCTGATGTAGGATAAGTTTGCATTTTCGGCAAATTTCTGAGAAATTTTTATGTTTTAACTGACACAAAATAATAACTAGTTGTTAAAGTTGGACTAATTAGACAGCTATGTTGATTTAACAACAGCGTCAGACATATCACAGCCACCCTAGATTTTATCAAATAATAAAGATCTACTCAGATCAAATCATGTAAATAAAAATATCTAGAAAAATCTTTGTTTGAGGGTAGGCAACCTTAATAATATTTTGAAGAGACATGAATTGTCCATTAAATATCGGAATAATATACTGGGTGTTTCATTTAAAATAAAAGAGTAACATGCTTTTAAAGGTGACCAATATTCAATATTAATTTTGTCTCACGCTGTATAAATTTTTGGACCAAGTTTTAATTTGATTTAAAGTACAATGGTTACTTTAACTACATCTAATAACATTAATTAACTACATCTGATCATCTACACAACCTAATGGCTATACTGGATAAATTGCAATTTAGGTAGCTTTTATTGTAATTTAAAAATTGTGCTTTATTTCTAGAAAATGTTAAATATGTCAAAAACCTTACATTTTAGTCATATACTTCTCTTATAAAACTCACCTTTATTTTTCTCCCAGAACCAGAAAATCAATTAATATATAGGGTGTTCTATTACAAAAAACACAACTTTAATATGTAACTTTTTTTGGGAACACCCTGTAGAACTCTCTATATTTTTAAAAGTGCTCTGAATTAACCTACATAATAATATGCTCACAAAATTTTATTTCAATACAAACTGTCGTTCTCCTTGGAGCCTCCGCGGCGTATAAGAGGCGCCACCCTGTATTGAGACGCACTGTTAATTCACACTAGAGATGAGCAAAACTGCGATTCTCCAATCGCAATTGAAACTGCGACTTGTACTGGGTATATAATGTTTGTGTATGTACCTACAATAGCTTAATAGTTAAAAAAAGTTAATAAAAATCAGTTGTTTATTTTTTTAGGTTTTTTTTAAACATCTGGTAACACATAGCAAAGTATTAAAACTTTAAAATATGCTGAAATGGCTGCAACTACACATACCTACTCTTTCTAGGGATCTCAGTTTTCTAATTCTTTATCCAATTCTTAAAAGATCTTAAAGAACTATTTTTGTAAGGTAGCTCACCCCTATAACTTTTTTATGTTTTGAGATAAAGAAACGAGATTTGGTATGTTAGTTGTTAGTATATTATATCCCATCAAAAACATAGAATGTCAAAAAATGCCAAGTCTCGCAACATAATTCCTCCGCTATAAAAAGTGAGATCTCATGTCTCTTATTTAGTCTCTCTTTAAGCACCTATTCAACAATTTTGATATAATTATATTAATACTAACAATTGATATATTTATACTAACAATTTTGTTAGTATCAATATTAGTCATCTTTATTTCTATAATAATCATAATGACTTGGCAATTGCATGCACGGCACCATAATTATAAAAAAGAATATCGTGCAATTTAATCCAAGTTATTATAATTATTATAGAAATAAAGATGACTAATATTGATACTAACAAAATTGTTAGTATAAATATATCAATTGTTAGTATTAAGATAATTATATCAAAATTGTTGAATAGGTGCTTAAAGAGAGACTAAATAAAATAAACTGACTTGGTTTTACATGAGATCTCACTTTTTATAGCGGAGGAATTATGTTGAGAGACTTGCATTTTTTTACATTCTATGTTTTTGATCGGATCTTATTTCTTTTTGTAGGTTATCGTTCTATTTTTTTTTCGGGTCATTTAAAATAAAGTTTGACTATAATTCATAAACTTTGAATTATCGTATAATTAATTAAGTCAGATAATATCAATTGAATTAATTCTAGTTTTCTAACGACTTGTGTTTCCGACTTTCGTTATAACTCAAATATCATCTTTAAAAATGTTCAATTCATAATTTTACCAATGCTTATTCAAAATTATTTTTTTTGTCAATTTTACACATATTTTATATTTTATCTCGAAAACTATAAGAGACTATCATGTACCAGCGACTTCGTTCGCGTCGAATTAATCATTTGTAATGGTGATGATAAAGCAAAGCAAGAATTTCCATTAACATACAAACTGGATAAAATTTTCTCACATTTATGTCAGCATGAGAAAAAACAATATGGCGATATTATTATATAACTTGGTAATATTTGAGGGGTAGTTTCATCTCGTTGGGATTTGACTCTCGAAAAATCCGTTTGCCAAAAATAAGCTTTTTACGTCAAGCAGTTTAAGCAGAATCGTGGTTAAGAAATTACCCCACTTTTTGGTTGATTTGTATGATTTTTCAAAAAATTTCAAAATATGAAAAAAAAAACAAATAAATTATGCTTGTCCAAGGGTTTTCCCGAAAGACTAACCGTTTTTTAAATAAAAAATATTATAATATTTGAGGGGCGTTTTCACCCTCTTGGAATTTGAGATTCGAGAAACGCCTCCTTATCGAACCTTTACACCCCACAGTCAATCCGTTTGCCAAAAATCAGCTTTAAACGTCAAGCAGTTTAAGCAGAATCGTGATTACTCAATGGTCATATTTTATGAAACAACTTGTATAAATTTATAAAAAATTTTAAAATATGTAAAACCACAAAATAAAATATACGTGTTTAAGAGTTTTTCCGAAAAACTCACCAGTTTTTAAATAAAAAATATTTTAATATTTGAGGGATAGTTCACCCCCTTAGAATTCGAGTTTCGAAAAATCCCTTCTTATCGAACCTCTACACCCTAAAGTCAATCTGTTTTCCAAAAATCAGCTTTTTACGTCAAGCGTTTTAAGCAGGATCGTGATTAATCAATGACCAGATTTTTCGAAACACCCTGTATACATTTTTAAAAAATCTTAAAATATGTAAAAAAACAAAATAAAATATACGTGTTTAAGCGTTTTTTTCGGAAACTTGACCGTTTTTTAAATAAAAAATATTGTAATATTTGAGGGGTGGTTTCACCCTCTTGGAACTGAAATTTCGAAAAATCCCTTCTTATCGAACCTCTACACTCTAGAATCAACCTGTATGCCAAAATTGAGCTTCTTACGTTGAGTTGTTTGAGCAGGATCGTGATTAATCAATATGTCTGTCACTTAAGGATTTTATATGTATATTACTATTAGGGCATTCAATCCCGGGATCCTGTTTCCCGGAATCCCGGACATTTTTCCAATCCCGAAATCCCGGGATTGTATTTTCTTTAATCCCGGGATTTTCGGGATTCATCATTACATTTTTTCCTTAATTTAAATCGTACACAAGTCTTTCATGATAGTACAATATGCGCTTATAAACAACCCTGTATGTTTGATCAAGTTTGAAGATGATGAAGATCTAGTTTGAGTGATAATACTCTTGATCGGCTTGTTTTTTTAAGAAATTTTTTGCAAAACCAAAAACCAAGTTTAGATCCTCATCTTTGTTACTGCATAAGTTGTTATTTTAGTATCTCTTAGTAATCCTGTGTTATGCTGTATTCGTTTGGTTATGTAAATTAAATAAAAAATGTATATTTTAGTTCCTTTTATGTTTTTTTAAATAAACTTATATGTTATGTTGTTTTGTAATGGGGATGACGTTTAATTTATGTTAATGTTTTTTTTGTTCAATAAAATTTCGTAAAGAAAGAAAATATAATATAATACCAACGTAATTAATTTTGTCGTGAA